ACACATGAACTCACTCACATGTGTATTATAATTCTCTATATATGCACTGATAAGGTTGATCTACATAAGTGATTTCCACGGTATCTGCATTACGCTTTTTTTTTTACTTTTCAGATATTCCCGCGCTCCCATCACACCATTTATTCATTAAATAATTAAAATAGGTGGGAATCAATATTTAACTTTCCTTTGCAGAGAATGTACAGGAAGCTTATCACATGAAGATGATTCTGCTAAAGTGTGTTTATGCATATTTATCTTCTCGCAAACCTGACCAGCTCATGCTCATGTACGGGGGGCTCGTTATCTACCAATCTGTTTATATGTCTATATCACACACAAACACAACACACACACACACACACACACACACACACACACACACACACACACACACACACACACATACACACACACAAACACACACACATATATAATATATATATATATATATATATATATATATATATATATATATCACTATATATGTATATATATATCACTATACATATCACTATATATGTATATATATCACTATATATATCACATATATATGTTATTATAGACCTGTTTCACGTGCAGTTATTGCAGAAACAATTCCAGGGCATACGATAGAACATCATATGATATATCTTGTATACACAATGCCATAAGAATCTGTATTCTGAAGTGAATAATGATATCCAAGACAGACACACACACACACACACACCACACACACACACACACACACACACACACACACACACACACACACACACACACACACAACACACCACACACAACACACCGTACAAAATGAAGAAACACCCTACTACAACTCCCCGATAATAATAACAATCTACGTTCACATGTACGTACGCTTTTCACTCGAATAATAATAGTAATCACAAAACTGAAGTATCTCTTTTTATAAACAAAACAGTCCGATTATCGAAAGTAATATACAAACATACGCATGACGCACGGGGGTTGTGATTTCTCAATTAACCGTTCTAGATTCTCCCACTGACGATAACAAGGGTAAATAATAACATTTAAGACAATAATCCCTTTCGCTAAGTACCGGTCGCGATATTGACTGATTAGGGAGGGTCTCTTTCCTGGAACAAAATGTGCTCACTCACGCCATCGTAAATATAGGAATTGTAATGTGGTTATTTTATATCGTTAACCGATGTCAATCTAATACAAATCTGATCGAAAATTAATTAAAAATACTGGACAGTTCATGGGTCATTCGAAAGCGTGTGGGTAAATTGGTAGTACTTTCCAAAATATCTGGTCTTTCTTTATACATCTTGACAGTTCCGTAGTCCAGACAAGAAAATCAGGTCGTGAAAATGGACAAATCTTATTAGGAGTATATAATTATATCAGGATGGGGAGGAAGACAAATAAACGTAAAATTTGGGACTTTTTAACCATCTTGTCGAACGTATAGCACAGAACTCCGTAAAAAGTGTGAAACAGACACACGATTTTGACGAATTAAAATCTATATGAAAACACAACACACATGCTATCCATCTATTTACGTATATATGTATAATACGTATGCACGCACTCTATCTATATATATTTACTTATGCATCTTTTACACACACACACACACTACACACTACACACACACACACAACACTAACACACTACACACACTACACACACTACACACACTACACACACTACACACACTAAACACACAACACTACACACACAACACACCACACACACACACACACACACACACACACACACACACACACCACACACACACACACAACACACAACACACACACACACACACACACACACACACACACACACACACACACACACAACACACACCACACACCACACACACACACACACAACACACACACACACACACACACACGTTTTCCAATCTTTCGGAAATAAAGGGCTAAAGCAAAGTCAAAATAAGTCTTATATCAACTTTGGGTTAAAGAGCCAACAATGCCACTTATTTCATTTGTCCAAAGGATTATTGCTTATATATTTTTCATTGCCAAAGCATATGTTAAATACTTGACTTAATTTCATATATATTGCAAATGTGATCTTTTCATAAAATCTGAAAATCAAAATATATGATTTAGCTCAAACTATGAATAAAGTGAAGAGCACAAAGAAAATACAACATACTTAGCATGAACAAAAGGATTAAAGTGCCACACGAAAAAAACTTGGCTATGTTGTCTGACAACCTGATTAAAGTAAATCAAAAGATACTCCTGTATTAGAAATAATATCTTTATCAAGGTGAAATATGGCATTTTTTATATGATACCCTTAAAACCAATATACTAAGGGAAATAAATATTTAAAAAGTTAACTATTGCAATAATGAGGCACATGATACATCTACATGGAAGCAAGATATGAATAAGTTAGATATTTTTTTCTTGCTTTGAAATAAATTTCACATTTCTCCTAGTTCATTTTTTATCTGATCTGTTCTACTGTTGCCTGGGAGTATTCAATTTTTTCTGTTTTTAGTCAAATAAAATCAGTTTAATTAACTCTAATGCTGTCTTTTCCATCCTGTTTGTGTTTATGCATCAATCTAAAAACATAATGAAACATCAACATTTATTATTATTATTATAAAATAAGTGGTATAAAACATTTGAAATTATATTTATGGGTCATGCCATTATCTGTAAAATATATCTATCTAATTCAATGGATATGGCATATTGTACTGACATTTATTCAAGTCCTTATATAAAAAAATAACTACATTCTTATGTCTTTGAGGTAACCCAGAGTACATTAAAATCTGTTTCAGCCATTAAACCAACAAGACATTATACTGCTTCTTTACAAGAAAAGAAGTCAAGCTGCCTTTAAAAGTTGCCACACCCATAGTTTATACTTTTTAAAGTATTAGTTAACTAATATAAAATATAAAATCTAAAATGTAAAAAAAAGAAAGAAGAAAAAAATAAAGTTGAAACTTTTATGGCACATCAGATCTATATGACTTTGAATATGATAAATCAGTGAAAATGAAATGAGGAGACAACATTCGCCAACAAACTGCATTGCACAACTGTGGCTGCTTTCAGTCTTAGTAACTGGTGCAAAACAATAGGTGACAAATTGTAAATCATAATGTAATAAACCTCTTCTTTGATTACAAAAGCAATTAAGATACCTAATAAAAATATCTATGATACTAAATAAAAGGTCTAAAATGCTAAATGCTTCAAGTACACAGGAAATACATAAATGGAAATGAAGAATTTGAATAGAAAAACCTGAGTAGGTATCCAGTATGAAAAAGTGAGGTATTCTTATAATACTTTCCCTGTTAAAGTGGAATGAATACTTCATAATTACGTAAATAAAGTGAAAAAATCTAGTCTTTCAAAATGCTATTGCTAAAGATATCTTAAGTTTTTTGAGCAAGCATTAAATGGTTTACCACCTATAGTGACAAATAATACAAATTTAAACTACTACATTCATCCTGAAATATACTTTAAAGCAAATAAATTTTGTCCAATCACTTAAATATATTGAATCTATTTATAACATTGTAAATGATTCCTATTGTTAACAAACATAATAAAGACGAGTTTATTAAATTTCACTAAAGTGTTCTTTTTAACTTCTCCCTGTAATACTAAATAATTGTACATCAATTTTGTACTAGTCTATACACACTCCAAAGTTCAGTTCTCAATGACAGAACCGAGTCTTTTTGATCTCCTTACCGGCGACTCTCGGGGCATTGAGTCTACGTCTTTAATTTTCTTTGTAACCTTGACTTTGGGTGTTCTGGCGTTCTTGACGTTGGGTGTTCTGGCATTTTTCACAGGCTTCTTTTCTCTGTTATTTGCCCTCTTGGGTTTATTCTCTTTAAGTTTTTGAGCTAACTTGTTGCTTATAGTTATGGAGGTCTTAACAGCATTATTTTCCTTTATGTTTGCGCTCTTTTTGCTGTTTTTTCTGGCACGTCCTTGCTTCTGTTCTTCCTTAACTTCCTTCTTTACCTTCTCCTTTACTTCCTTCTTTATCTCCTTCTTTACTTGCTTCTTCATATCTTCCTTTAATTCCTGCTTTAGCTGTTTCATATCTTCCTTCTTTATCTCATCTTCAGCCTCCTTCTTAACACGTTTCCTGCTGCTTCCATGGTTTGCTGTATCTTCTTCATCAACATCTTTTTTATTTTTCTTACTCTGCTTTTTACCTCTTGAGGCTGCAGCTGTTAAGCAAATAAAAAAATATACTAGAATACAAGTAATTATGGTATTCATAGGTATGCAAATGAATCAAGAGTCCTACCACTGACATCATTGCTGGATGTTAAAGCAAGAATCTAGTAACGCTTTGTGCTAGAGAGAGAGAGAGAGAGAGAGAGAGAGAGAGAGAGAGAGAGAGAGAGAGAGAGAGAGAGAGAGAGAGAGAGAGAGAGAGAGAGAGAGAGAGAGAGAGAGAGAGAGAGAGAGAGAGAGAGAGAGAGAGAGAGAGAGAGAGAGAGGAGAGAGAGAAAAGAGAGAGAAAGAGAAAGAGAAAGAAGAGAGAAGAGAGAGAGAGAGAGAGAGAGAGAGAGAGAGAGAGAGAGAGAGAGAGAGAGAGAGAGAGAGAGAGAGAGAGAGAGAGAGAGAGAGAGAGAAAGAGAGAGAGTGAAAGAGAAAGAGAGAGAGTGAAAGAGAAAGAGAGAGAGTGAAAGAGAAAGAGAGAGAGTGAAAGAGAAGAGAGAGAGAGAGAGAGAGAGAAGAGATGAAAGAGAAAGAGAGAGAGAGAGAGAGAGAGAGTGAAAGAGAAAGAGAGAGAGAAGAGAAAGAGAGAGAGTGAAAGAGAAGAGAGAGAGTGAAGAGAAAGAGAAAAAGAGAGAGAGTGAAAGAGAAAGAGAGAGAGTGAAAGTGAAAGAGAGAGAGAGTGAAAGAGAAAGAGAGAGAGTGAAGAGAAAGAGAGAGAGTGAAAGAGAAGAGAGAGAGAGTGAAAGAGAAAGAGAGAGAGTGAAAGAG